ATTTTTTTTTTTAATGTGTATATTTTTACCTATAGGCACAGGTATTTGCTTGTGCTCTGAAATGCATCTCAAGTCAGCTTTGAGGCAGGGCAATCCTAAAAAATAAAGTGTTTTGGAGCTGTACAATTACAGTTTCCAAACAACCCATAAATATAGATATTTTTTATGAAGATAGAAAGCTAAACACTGAAAATGTTTAATGTTAACAGCCTGAAATTGCATTCCTACGTATTCAGGGGGAAAGTTTTTTAAAACAACACACTATTTCTAAAATGACTTAACATTTTCTGCAATTCTACTCTATGCATGATGTCCATTCTAATTTTCTCTCCATGTTTGACAAAGGAAATAAATGTTATCTGCTAACAACGGATACCAGCAAACGGAGTGTTCCTCCAGTTCTGTAGGATTAGGAAAATTTGGCTATGTAAGGTACCACAAGTGATTCCACTGAACACTTCCTGAAGAACACTTTAGGACTTGTTATATTTTTTCTTTAGCTGTTATGGTTGTGTGCTATGGTTGTATGCAGTGTGCTAGTGCGAGATACGTATTTCAGATTTGGTCCTTGCTTTGATTCTCAGCTTGGTGGATTAAAGTAAAAGCATTCATTTTGGAAAACAGAGAGTACATAATAACTAAAGTTTTAAAGAAACTTTAATGCCTTGTATTTTACTATTCTTTCACCTGAATTAGCAGAATAACATTATCCTGAATAAATTCCCTAGTTAAATGGAAGCTCTCTTAGCACACTGTATTTTCTTCTACTTTTTTTTTTCTCTCTTCAGAGACATCAAAACATTTTCTACTTCAGGTGTAACATCACAACTTGTTATAATGAATTGCAAGAATGATTTCTTGTGTTTTAGTTACACTGGTGATCTCGTTGTTAAAGTACAAAAGAGGTATAGCATTTGGTATTAGTCATACATACCACAACTTTTATTTTAATTTTTTTATTAAAATTTTAATTACTATTTCAAAGTAATTTTTGTTCAGGTTATTAACAGAGCTTAAATACTACTACAGCTGCAAACCTCTGGAGTGAGAAGAAAGTGAATGATCAATGGCAACAACCACCAGGAAAAAAAAAATCAAAGACAAATTTTGTGTAAACTAACACAAACTTAAGACACATGAAAAACGTACTTCCAATAAAGCAGAAGAAATTATTCTGGAGAAGTTGAAATATCCCTCAAAGTTTCAGTACAGAATCAAACTAAAACTGAAAGCAGACAACCTCTAGTTTGATAACTTGCAACAAATCAGCTTCCTTACTGTATATATATACACTTTTCAATGCTCTCTCCCTAACTTCTGTGTACGCTTGGCGTCTCATCTTATGACACTTTTACTGCCACAGGAGTGCTTTCAAAGTATCTTTTATATTTTAATACTGCATTTCATGTAAAAGTGAATTACTCTCCTCATAAAAAGAAATGTTTCTCCTCAAATTCGACAGCGGATACGTATCGCATGCTACATTTCCACTAGTCAGACTGAAAGATGACTCTCTTCCAACACTCAGAATTGGTATGGACAACAGAAACCTTTTCAAACAGGCACAGTCCAGTAAAACAACAAAAAAAAAATATAATGCTTAGCATTTCTCCCACTTGTCTCATCATAGCAGAACACTCATTTTAACCAATCCTTTCCAACCTTTGCTTTTACTCTCCTCTACATTTCTCAAATAAACAACATTCTTTACCAATACATATACTGACTGAAGAATTTGCCAACCAACTAAATTACAGGGACAAAGAGACAGCATAAGATTAAATAAGGAGTAAACTACAAGAAGGTTGACCAAAGCAGAAATGCATGTATGCACTTGTGTCTGAATGTGGGAGTGTCATACAATTATCTAGAGTACTAGATCAAATAAGGTGAGCAAAAAGGAAGAACTTAAAAAGTATAAGAGTAAATACGAAGTAATAAACGGTATTGAAGATGAGCAAAAGAGACAAAGAAGAAGAAAGATCACTGAAACAGAAGCAGAAAAAACAGATTTTAGTAAAAGCTACCAAAAAAAAAAAAAAAAACATTTGAGAGAAAGAGCAGTAAAACATTTGAAATGGAAAGAAGTTTTAAAAAGAGAAAAGCAAAAGAACTCTTAGTTATTTGTCTAGAGAGTCCTTCTCATCCATAAAATTCATTACGCTGCATTAATCCATTGCGTGAGGGTCCATGCTGGAGAGCACCAGCACACCTTTCTACACAAGCTTCCCCACTGGTTCACATGCCCCTGGAGTGCAGTTAGCACTACCAGTTACACAGTTCTTACCCAGCACATGCTACTTTCAAATTTTCTTTAAACGCAGAGACGTGCATGTACAGCCAGTTTCTGCAAACTTAACTGTTTAGAAGACGAGTTTTTTCAAGAAGCAATTCCCCCACAGTTGTCAGCAACCTTTCCTCCACAATTCTGTTTCACTTATTCCATAGTTAGATACCTCTGTCCTAGATTTTGTACTTGGATGCAGAACTAGTTGCTTTGATTTGGCGGTGTCTCAGTATAGCAAAGTCATCCATCTTGTATTAGAAATAGGACTTCCTATCATAAAGAAAAAAATTATAGAGGAAAATTGGACAGCACAGGAACATGAAAGTTTAAAGGCTGTATTTAAAGTTTGTGTTCATTCTGAAAGTCTAAGATCAACAAGATCAATGTATAGCTTGGTTTTCTAGCTGTAGCAGACAGGTCAGTAACCTTACTTCAATTACATTTGTGATATAAGCTGATACCCAATCTTTGACTTTTCTGTTTACTTCTTACTCTTCTTCTTATCTTCCTGTTTTCACTCCATTGTTTTACCTCTGTCTCTGTTGCTTTCTTCAAAGGCACCTTCCTCTTTCATTATGTACTTTTTTCTTTCTTATTTTCTTGTTTATCCACAAAGGATTACTTGAACTATGCCATGCTGCTTCTACTACAGGCCAATATGAAGCCAGATGAAAGTCAAGAATTCTAGCGGAATGGAGATCAGCCCCATCCACTCTGCCTGGGCAACACATACCTGGACTGGTAAAGTCTGTATCAAAAACTTAGCTAGAACCAAAAGCCTGAATCCAAATACTGCAATAAGGTTCTGCCAGCACCAGGGAGATCTCACTCCTTTTTCCTCTTTTTCTCATCTCTAACTCTTGGAAAAGTCATTATTCCAAGGAACGTGATTCCCATCCTCAGTCCCCAATCAACAGTCTCAGTACCAAATGTAAGGTTATCTACATGTCTTTTCTTTCCCATGCAGTTGAGTACCCTGCCAATGCATCTCTCTGAATCCACACTGAATCTCCGAGAATTGATACTTAAGGATATTAGAAGAAAATGTGTATTCTTGCCTTTAATTTTAGTTCACATTTCTGTTTACAGACCTTAAAACAATTTATTCTTAAAAGTAGTCATATCTTAGTTTAATACATTAGTATTTGCATTTCTAACACAGCTGATCTACACCCTATAGATTTATCTCACAACCCTTGGAACAGTAGAAGCTGAATAATCTCTCAGATATAAATGGAAATTTGTCATAAGGAGGTTTTGCACTGAGGAAGCTTTCTCCTACAAAACGAGATGAAGACGGTGTAACAGTGCAAGATACTTCTAACGGCACTTTGGAAGATGTGGACCTACTTTGTATTATTTCAAAATTACTTCAAACTGTAAGCAGACTGTAGCTTGTATTAGGGCTATTTGGACCTTCAATGCATTTTGTTCAACAATTTACTTTAAGAAATTGTTCTTAATCTTAACACAAATGATTGTAAATAATAATGGTAAATGTGCAAAGAAAATTCACGTATGGGAAAATAAACGAATGTAATTATTTGGTGCACTCGTTTGTGTTTGGATCATGTCATTCTGAAGTGTGACAAATACAAAACACCTTTTCCTAAATGATGTATACCAGTTACAAATTAAAAGTAATACCAAACTGAAGGATGCAATTTGGTGATTTTTTAAACTCACCATGGAGCTGGTAAGTCACCCACATACAACAATGCACTTTGTAGACATTTGTTAAATACTGCAATGCCCATACTAAGGCAACACATCCCAGGAGTTGGCAGTCATGCTATCAGCAAGAATTTGGCTACAGAAACAGCAATGATTCATCATACATTCTAGAAGCACTGTCGAAACAGCAAAACAACATACTGCTATTTTAATCCTTTAAAGGTAACAAGGGTTTAAAAATAATAATTAAAATATATTTCTATAACCAAAGCAAGCAAGAAAAATCATAATTCTAATAATGCATTTGGAAATATATCCCTATTCATTTGTGATAGCTATTAGAAACGTTTTTTTTTTCCCCAGAGGACATAAAATAGTTATTTAATACAAGTGTTGGCTGATTACTTACCTCTCTACTTTGTATTTTAAATGGTCAGCTTAATATTATAGCACAAATGTTTCACAATAGGTAAACGAAAAGTCACTAGTTTAAAAATAGTTTAATTAAGGTTGCATTCGGTTTTAAAATCCTTTGTAGTTATTTTTAAAATAACCACCAAGACACATTTTCATGAATGCCCCTATATGATTTTCAGATCACCCTCCGAATGACGAGCCAGACGCAGTTACAGCACCTTTTTCAGTGCACGCATATATGTTTTTGTCCCAAAACCCACCAAGAAAAACCATTTCTCAGCTAACAGTACTTGAAGACTTGCAAATAATGGTGCAGATCCTGACAAAAGCTCTCAAGTTACCTCTGATGAGAGTGCTCTGATCTTACTTCTGCAAAACATTCAAGTTAAACGCAAACACAGGGAACTTTTGTCCCTGGAATTATAAACAGATCTGAGGACTATAAATTGATTTCCATAATGATCAGAATGAAACACTGGAATTATCAATAACACTCTTTTGCAATCACCTTGACAAAGATGATCAAACCCACCTCTTTAACGTTTAGAATGGAATCAGCTGCAAGCATTTCAGTCGTGCTGCCCTTTGTCCGTTTGCACAAACGCACATCGCGATCCCTTACCTTTTGGAAAGTGCCTTCATCCTGCCTTCTTTTCTTTTTGCCGCTTTTTCTGATCCTCTGGTTTGTCCGAATCCATTTTGTGACCTGGAGTTCAAAACCGTAGTGGATTTTTAGGAAGAAGGTGCAACCTGGGTGCAGCTACTCAGCGTTAGTAAGAAGCGATAAACAGACGCGAGACACGTTTTTCCATTGCTTCATTGGAAAGAGGAAAAGCGTTTTTCCCTAAGAGTGACATGTTCTTAGGTAATCTGCTTAGCTACTCGGGCATGGTCAGAGCGAGATGCTGTTCTTCATCCTACGAAAGCACTTTCCCTTCTGCTCTTTCCTACAGCAAACTTACAGCTTTCAGCTTAGGAATTTTATTTCATTTTGCATCAGGGAAGCGTGCTTGATGCCAGACCAGGCTGCCAAACGGACAGCTACCACTGCTGTGTGCAAAAAGAAATCCCGGGGAAAACCTCTTCGCCCTACCCCTTGCCCCTCTCACAAAATTCATCTCCTGCCACCCCCTCGGGCGTTGCTGCAGACTACCAACGCCAGCTGCGGACAGCGGGGTTGTTATTAAATCATCAGGTAACAGCACGTGGGTGTTGCTTTTTTCTTTTTTTTTTTTTTCCCCCAAAATACGGATGTTTTTTATTCCTGATCCGAACGCAGGTTTGGTTTTATTTCAGTGAAATCGCATCAAAGCGTGGCGGGAGGGGGGTCAGGTGGAGCCTGCAGGGGACGGAGCAGGGGGGGGACCCCGGACGGGGCGGCCGGGGGACAGCGAGCCCCAGCCGCGGAGACGGCTCCCCCCTCACCTCGCCGCTCACTTGCTGGACGAGCCGGCTCTCCTTCCACGTCTCGCCCTCCTCCAGCAGGGGCTGCACGGGGGGAGAAAGAGCACGGTGAGGCGGCAGCCCCCACCCCGACAGCCTCGCCCCGAGGCGCCCGCTCCACCGCCGCCACCACCCCCGTCCCCGTCCCCAGGCCCCGTCCCCAGGCCCCGTCCCCAGGCCCCGTCCCGTCGCGTCCCGTCCCGTCCCAGCCCAGGCCGCCCCGCAGCCCTCGGTCGGAAATGAAACACCTCCGCGGGGTCCCCCGCCCCCGTGCCCGGGCCCCGGAGCCCCGCGGAGAGGAGGAGCCTTGCCTTAAAGACGTAGGGGACGGGAGGCAGCGGGGCGGCCGCCGGGGGGCTGCCGCGCCGCCCCCGGGCCGGCCCCGAGCTGTCCCCGGGGACGGCCCCTGCTGGGATGGATCCCCCGGGATCCATGGCTGTGTGTCGCCCCACAGGGACGCTGTCCTGCCCAGCCCTTTCCTGCCCCACTCACTGCTGTCCCCGCACCCTGCCTGACACCTGAGGAGCGCGGCTGCTGCGCGAAAAGCCTTGGAAATCCCGAAACGCGCCCTAACAGCGAGACCCGCAGCAGGCTTTTTATTCCTCCCCGGGCGCAGCGAGCCCTTTGCTGAGGGCTCGGTTACAAGCCGGGGTCAGCAGCAGGTGATTAGATGTAGGCACGGGGCTGCCAGCAGATGTTCCTGTGGCTCCCCCGGCCAGGTCCTCAAACCCCGCCGCGATGGGAGCCACCCGAGCGGTGTCAGCCACCAGAAATTCCTGGGTTAGGGGTTTTTTTTTTTTTGCACGCCGCGCATTTAGCACTTGGAACAAGACACGCACACGAAAAGGCAGACCGAGTCCCCACCTGGTGTAATTACGGTGTTTTCAGGATTTTAAAACTAGATTGTGCTCTGTGTGACAATTCCCTGAAAGCTTCAAAAGAAAAGCTGTGCTTTTGTAAAAAAAAAAAAAAAAAAAAGAAGGCTCATCAAAGCAACTGCTTGAGCAAACTCCCTCTCAAGTAGAAATAGATGGACTTTGCAAACAGATTTAAGCAAATAAAGGTAGGTCCAAATTAGTGTGTGCTAAATCTCGACAGTATCCCTTTAACTCTATAACTAAAAAAAAAAAAAAAAAAAAAAAAAAAAAAAAACCTCTCTCCTACTCTTTTTGTTTCACTGCCACAACATCCTTCTTTCAAGATCAAAAGCTATAGATCAAAGCTGAGATCAAACTCAATGCTTTAAATAGAAGCAACTTCACCATGACCTATTATACAAAGAACTTTTTAATAGAGCTATCACAGTAGAAAATCTTATTATAGATTTTTATTTCACACACACAACAGGTCCACTTAAAACCGGTATCAACAACGTATTTTTATTTCGTAAGACAACAGATTTTCCACTAAACAGTAGCTCTGGAAAGCTGCTATAAATTGACTCTTGAACTGTGCGTGTCTGAATGAAGCAAATAATAGAGCACAGTTCAAAGAAACCGAACAAGAACATGAACAAAAAAAAGTGATGTTAATGGCAAACACGCATTAATGCAGTTACCTAAAAAACAGCGTTCCTTTAATCAGTTAGCAGATTAGATCATGTATTCCCACAGAAGTTATGGGAGGGACTGGGTCATAGAAAAAGTGAGACACACTTTACCGAAATACTTTAAAGAATTACACTTTCTCTCCTGTCAAAAAGTTTGGAGAAAAGTAGGGAAAAAAAGGTAAGAAGAGACATTGATTTGTAGACCCAAACACCCTGAGGCCGGCCTGGGATGAAAATGCCTACTTTCTGAAACAAACAGAATGTGTGTTAAAACTCAGAAGTAGCTCCTCTTTTCCTGCCAGTAATGCACAGCAGTGAAGGCAACTCACCAGGAGCTGTTATTGATTTTTATAATGGAAATATACCTTGCGGAGCCAACACCTGGGGTTCCCTGGTGCTGTCTGCCGTGCACATCATAGCTTCCACACTCATCTACTGTAGGATGACAGCACTGCTGCTTGAGATAGGAACTAATGTGTCCACACAGACAGACTGCAGTGTAAAGAAAGCAGTGAGAGAAGCAGGGTGGGCTGAAGGAGCTGTAGTCACAGCACACCAGCTGTGCAGTCAGCTGTTAACTCTACTTATTCGGGCTTCAGTAAGATTTATCTCATGATCAGAGTAGGAAAATTTGCTTGGAAAACAGGGGGAGAGAGTGAGAAAGAGAGGGAGAATAGAAAGAATGAAAGGAAGAGGAGGGGAAGACAGCACATGAAAGATTGTTTTAAGAATATTTGATCTCCAACACGTTCTTCCACACCCCAAAAGGAAAGAGCTTACACTAGATAAAAGGGCAATAGAACACCCCAATTAACGGGATTGTGACTGCCTCATTCTTCACCAGCAGTCCTAGTTGGTGTCCTCATGACCATGACCTGTCATTCTCGAATCCCCTCACAACTGAAATTAAGGGTTGAGTCCACCCTGCATGTCATTGTTGGGCACAGCTTTCAGAAACTGCTAATGGAGCTATCGTTTGTAACGCTTAGACTGGGAGCAAGCATTTATCCATCTCAAAGCATGCTAGGATCCTTCACTCTTGCAGCACCCGGACTAAAGCAGAATTTTGAAATATGCGGGAAGAGGTCGCACTTTCTACCAACTGGATGAAGATAGGCCCAATATCCTTTGTACATGACATAGACAGGGATTTACACACCAGTTATTCTTCAAGTCAGACCAGGTCCCAAGCATACAATGAATTTTCAGGATTGTACATACGCTAGAAAACAACAGGATATTTATGCAACAGGCAACCATTTCCTTTTTAATTGAAGCATAAAATGATTTTATATTGCTTAGGCTGTGATGACTACTAATGATATTTCATGAATCAATGAAAAATCATAATTGCACATTTTCCCTTTGCATGAATTGTCTATAATCTCAGCTGGTCTGTGCCACTCTAATGCTAAAGCATTCAGTATTGCTCAACCAAGGTCATTTTATCTCTGGAGGACACTGAATCGGTGGCATTTTGTTTGCTTGCAGAAGTTTTCAGATACTGGAAAGCAAAGACAAAAGATTGAAAAGAGTGTAAAAAAACTAATTACTGTAAATGAATTTTAGAAGAGCTTCTACAAAGCTGAGGATAGTAACTAATGCAGTCAAGTCATATTTTCCAGTCTCTAATTTCTAGACATTCGATTCCTCTCAATTACTGAATTTTACACTGTGTGTACACGCCCACACATATGTATATATATTCAGGTCTATGTAGACAACAGCAAGAGAAAAGAAAAATCTCTGGAAAATTGCAATAAATTTTTAAAGCAATATTTTATCCAGAAGCTAACAAAATGATTAATAATGGCTTGAAACATTGGATTATATAATTCTCCAAGGGCAATATTTTCAAGCCTTTTAAAGACCTACTGTTACCAAAATCTGGCAGAGACACTCAGGAGGCAGTAGGCTAGCACTGAAAGTCAGAAGGTGGCTGCTTGCATCCACATTGCAACTTTACTTGCAAGACACAGTACATCAACGGCTGATCAAAATTACTGAAAAAGCAATCCAGTCCAGACTATGCTCCTTTAAGAACAGCAAGTCCTCCAATTGACTGCAGTTTTCATGGGGACAACTTCATTCACTGAAGTGGGAGATCAGATTCTATTTGTATTTTAGGAAAAATGGTAATTTATGTTGATAACATAAATCCAAGTGCTCTAATTCCTCCAAAAGTGTCTGTGGTGGTGGTAACATACTCTTTTCAGATCAGCATGCTGTTTTTAACATTCTTCAATGAAACACCTGTACGGAGACATTATGTTCAACACCTGTACAGAGACATTATGTTCAAATCAAACTCGCCATTCCTGAAAATATATCTACCTCCAAGAGATAAAAATCTGTAGAAACAAAAACTCTGAGGATGTACTTTCAGTACACTTCAACATGACTTTCAAATACTGTGGCAGGATATACTGCAAATACATCCTTCATATCCATATTAACAGCCGTGCTTTAGGGATAAAGTTTCTACCTAAAGATGAATCACTGCAACTGCCTCTTTAGTCCCAGATCAAACTCACAGTCTGATAAAGAAAGTATCTCTGACCACATGCCCATGGGATCTCTAAATATTAGATTATTACTTAGATTATTATAATTAGATTACTTAGATTATTATAAGACTTATTACTTATTAGTAAATAATAATATGTAGCACATGACATATAAATTATATATCACATATGTATTATAATAATACTTTTGATTATGCTTTTTTTTTTTTTTTTAATTCTGATTTCATCAGGTACTCTCACTAGGTGACCTTCTGGAGCAACTGGAAAAGTATATTATTGTTTTTTTTATATTTAGGCCTTTCTGCTTGAGAAGTATTCCCATATGTGGGAATACTTTTCAATAAAGCACAGTCCAGACTGTAAATTACAACACCTTCCTCTACAAGAAGCAAGAAAATATTTAAAAGATGTCATGCTTTTTAATACAGTCATGTATGGAAATGAGGCCTCACATTTCAGGTTGGCCCTGCACTTGTTTAATTTAAAAGTAATGTGAATCAGACTTTCTGAACCCAGAGGAAAATATCAGGGCTCAACTATCTTTGACATAAGAGAAACCTCTATAAATTTCACTTTTGCTCCATCCAACACTGAGATCTTGATAGTCAGTGGATAGTTGCTGGCTGGCCGAAATACATAGGACTTTGAAAGTCCCTTGGCATTATTATGTTGTTGTTGCTGCTGCTGCTCTCGTAACTGAAATGACAGGGAAAACCAAAAATAAACATGCCTGAACATAGACACCGGACAGTCCTGTCCCACTCATGTGACAGGTAGTGTTTTCCTTCCTCCTCCAGTGTGAAGAGACTCAGAGGAAACAAGGCTGTGTTTCTTGTTTAAGAAATAAAATACATCTTTCAGAGACACTGACCTCTGAGTCTTACTGATCTCTTGAAGCAATCAAAAACCCTTCCAGCAGTTCCAGAAAGGAAACTTATTCAAGACAAAAGTCAATTCGTTCTCTGTTT